TTGCATGACCATATATACCAAAGGGATACAATAAAAAAAAAGTGAACACAAAAAATGGACAAATCAGATTTTAGAGCAGAGGTGGGGTAGGGGGGGAGGTTAGTGTCTATGAGATCATGATATTAGGGATGATAATTGGGGAAGCTATCTTTGTAATGGGTAAGAATTATCATCTTTGTTTAGGCCCATTCGTAAAGTGTCAAATTTATCTATCTAAGAATATTTTGAAGAAATTCATTCCGAGTAAAAAAGGAAATTGTGTCAAGTGTGAGCAATGCAAGAAGATGCAGGGCCTAGTTGTAAGAATTAAATATAAGGAAAACTGCTTTTGGGGAGAAAATGATTGTAGATGAAGATGTGGATATGGCTGAGTGGATCACCTGGCTAGGAACTTAATTCATTTTGCAGTGCATCATTCTTCAAGACTCTCTCTATGCCTTTTAATATAAGTATGATATGACAAGTAGAATCCCAAGCTGTTTGTTGTGCTGGATATAGCTAGGGAACAAAAGTTTAGCTTACCTAAAATAAGAGTTTATTTTCTTATTTTATATTACATAATATGTGCCCTTTATTTTGGAACATCATAGTCACAGACCATAACGGTGATGCCATTAGTCTATTCCTTATTTTACTTCAGCATAACTCAGCTTTTCCAAAGGAATTCCATTCTGTACTTGTTTTCTCAAAAAACAGAAGTGTCAGTAAGTTCAATGGGACTTATTCCAAAATTAACTGCACTCTAAACACAGTCAGGCTTAATGTTTTTAGTCACTTTATTTATTTATTGGTGATTTAAAATCATGATTTATATCAGTTATTTAAATCAATACACCCTGTTCTTTTGGTCTCTTATGTCAAGCAATTTTAAGCATATGGCCTAGTATGGCTAAACTGACATTTTACAGGCCTCATCATTTAAGCACAATTTATGTAATACACCTAATCCATTCGAAATACTAATACTAATCAATCTTATGCTTTGATTTTATATGACATAATACGTTAATCATAATATCACATCATAAATTAATGATAAAATGAACTAACTGGCTACGGGAGGACAGAAAGCCATGATAGCTGCTAAATAAACCTTGATGGCCAGGACTGTTTCATGAGTAACAGATATTCCAGAAAATGATTTATTGGAGCCCACACTGGGGAAAAACCTGCAGTGCTGGAACCAGATGGAAAAATCTCTTCTACTTCATCAGGTTAATACACTGATCAGATACCTTTCTGCTATTTAAAGGTACATCGAACTCCCTTTGAAAAAAATTCTACTGGAAGGGTTACTTATGGTGTCTACAGATTGTCAGATAGTCTGCTGCTAAGTTCTCTCTAAGCTGTGCAGCCACACCGCTGCCTGTTCAGCCCCACACAGGAGCTCAAGGCTGCAGCAGGAAGAACTACCTGTCCCCACTAACCTCCAGCATGGATCTGCCTCAGACCTGCATCGATGGGGGAGACACACCTCTCCCTGAGCCTAACCCAGCACCAGGATGGACTTACCAAGGCTGCAAGGAGTGGAAGACACACGACAATAGGCACCCCTCCCACTGGTCCAATCCTGGCACAGACCTGCTGCACCTAGGGGAGAGGCCCCAACCCAGCTGCACCCCTCCCCCGGCCTGGCCCTGCTGGAGATGCCACAGCTATGGAGAGGCACCTCTTACCTGATCCCAAGGTGTAGCAGTGAGAGGGCCGGCGGCAATCGTCTCCCTTCCAAGCAGCCTGCACTTCTAGCCTCTCATCCCCAGCCCAACCCTAATGCTCAGAGTCCACCCCCCAACCTTCTGTTCCAGCTCTGAGCCCCAACCCTACACCAAACTCCTCAGCCCCAACTCTGTCACTCACCGTAAGTGGAACAAACTTTGTGACATCACATCCACACTGGTGCACACATTCCTCACATGGACACAAAAAATATAGAGGGAATGCTCATCTGCAGATTGACACTGAGGAGGTAACCATGGTCCTGAAAGATTAGTCCGGGCCCAATAGAAGTGGCACTTTTTCCAAAAAGGATAGCAGAGCAGAAGCTGGCATGCTGCCCACCAAAAACGTGAAAATATTTGCTCTGCACTCCCAGATTACGGGGCAAACTAGAAGCTGCTGCAGAAAAAGAAGATGATCTACAATCTCTGCTTTTCTCCTCACAAGAAGCAGCAAGGTGTGTAAAAATGATAGTGATGTGGGGCTTGAATATAGACTTTTTTTTAAATTGAGAGGCAGGTCTTTAAATGCCCCATGATTTAACTATTGCCCTAGAGTCCTTCTGGCTATGCAGTTTTTCATAAATCTGCTCAGAGAAGAGCGATAACCTCTCAGAGTGCAGGTCTGTTGGACAACTTGAGGGAGACCCAACAACTGCAGCCATGAACATCTATCTATACATCGTAATGGCTTCAGACATGAATCAAGCTTCAGTCAGCAGCATCTAAACCCAGCTGAAGTAAGATCCAAGCCATTAATTAATCCACCACTGAAAGAAATTTTTGTCTGGTGCTTTCTGACAGGCTCTCCTTTATTTTTATGATATTGTCCCACATGCTAAAATCATAGCATCCCAGCAGTGTCTGATGCATAGCAATCCTGAGCTCCAGCCCATCCAATAAAGTTTTCTACCAACTAGAAAGAGTTTTTCTGAGATGGAGTGCCATTGCAGCATGCATCTCTTTCATTGGCAGCTCTAAGACCCCCAGAGGGAATGGATATAAAAGTGCTTGAAACCGTGCGGGGTAATATTACCTGCACTCACCCCACTATGATGTTGGTGTATGAAGGTGCAGTCTCCCTCAGTACTTTGGTAAGCTCCACGATAGCTTCATACATCGTGACACCTGAGATGGTCCTACAGTGGCCAAAATGTCACTGTGGGACAACTCGCAAACCTCTTGCACCTGGACATTAAAGGCAGGAGCTACCCTCTTGAAAAGGCCCTGATGGACCTTATAGCCATCACATGAGGCCTTCTGATGCCACTGCCTCGTCAAGTAAGAAAAAGGATAAAGCCAAGATCTTTACAGCCGAGCCTCCTCTGGCACTTCTGGGGCAACCCTCCTGTTCAGTACTGAGCCCAACCTCCAACTGTACTTGGTTGGGATGGGTCTTGATGCCTATTCCAAGTAGCAGAGTAAGCACAACCTGAAGGCAGGTGAAAACTCCCAAGGATTCAAAACAGCCACTGGGATAAGGCCCTAGAGGGAATCTTTACTGGGCCCCTCTCCAGAGCTTACCGGTAGCAGTAAACCTTTGAAGAGCTATAGTGAAGTATGAGATGCAACTACAAGACACGTGAACCAACTTGCAAGTGTGAACATTAATCTGACACAGGGGAGCTATTCCTGGTGTTGAGAGCTTGGAGAAGATGGCACCAGAGAAATCACTGCCAGCTTCTCTGTGGAATAGTAATAGACATGTAGCCATGTTAGTCTGGTGTACAAAGTCCTGTATTTTGCTTCAGCTTCTCTGTGGACAGCTCTGAAAGATGAAGCACTCAGATCCAGGGGAGCCATTAGTACCACTTTCTGGGCCACAGCAGAGGGCTGACCAGCCAAAAGATTCCATGCAAAAGGAACTGATCTGCTGATGAAAATGCTATCAACAGACTTAGTAAGTCCCATAGTGCCCCTTCAGATTCCAGATCTAATGGCACTAGGACAGCCATCTGCTTGTAAGACACCACAGAAAGCGCTACTGAGTTCCAACAGTGCTTCCTCAGGGGCCGAGTTCAAACAGTGCTTGTGCCAGAGTCAACACATCTGCCCAAGTGGATGACTTCCTTGGGTGTCTCTAATTCAAGTGCTTTCTGCTTCCTCTGTCTCAAGCTTGCTGAACTGTGGTGCCAGGAAGTTCTCTCTCCAAGATCCTGAGTCCTTCAACTTAAAGGGTGTCTTCCTCCGTGCTTGGGAGGGAGACTGGTGCCACGAGTCAGCCAACACAGGAGGAGTACTCCTGACTGAACCCCATGTGTTTTGCAGCCACTCACAGTGGGAAGGCTCAGCAAGGGTGGAGAGCTGTCTGCACGAATAGAAAGTCTGACCACCCTGCCTTTTTGGTCCTCGGCTTCAAGTCCCTACAAACTAAACACTGACCCCAAATTTGTGACCTTCCAAAACACTTCAAGCACCTGGAGTGAGTCATACCGGCAGCTTCTTTTTTCATGAATGACAGGCTTGAAGCCTGATGATCAAGGCAGTCCCAGTACCAGAATTCAAAGGAACTAAAGCGCTTAACACTAACAGGAAAATCTACCTAACCCTAAAACTACAGTGAACTTCCGATAATCCGGCACCTTTAGGACCCAGGGGGTGCTGGATTATCAGCTATTCCAGACTATTGGAAGGGGGAGGCTATGAAGGGTCTGGGGTGGGGTGGGGGGATGCCACCCCCAGACCCTTCATAGCCCCCCCTTCCGATAGTCCGGCTCCGCCCCCCGCCACCACCCCCTGGGTCCCAAAGGTGCCAGATTATCGGAAGTTTACTGTATATTGGATATACATGTACTCCGGCACTCCTGATGGTCCAGCACCATCAGGACCCCAGAGGTGCTATCACCCCCAACCCCCCCCAGCTACTCTGCCCCCGGCTTCCCCGATTCAGCTGCTGGTCAGTTTCAGCAGCGGATGAATCAGGGAAGCCGGGCGCAGAGCAGCTCCAATTGTCAAGCAGCCAAAGCATTCCAGGTTCCTGATGGTGCCGGACTATCAGGGGTGCCGGAGCATTGGATTCCGGACCAATGGAGTTTTACTGTACCACTAAATTAGCAGCAACTGGTACAAAGCAGACAAATAGGAAATGCTTGCAAAGGCAAGACAAGATGCTCCAACAACTGTTATGGGCCGTAGGGAGTATCCAAAGGGGTATCTGGGAGCATCTTTGTCCTTTATATTTTCATGTATCAAGAGACAATAGAGGGCACAAGTCATCCCCTACAAGTATTGCTGAGAACATCAGCATACTGGATGTGCACATACCTAAACTGGAATATTTTTCCCCAGGAGAAAACAGGAACGCAGTCACCCACTATCACAAATTATGCAATCAAGATTCCCCGCATTTGGGGAAATCACAGGGGACAGCACACCCACAGTGCAATGGTTGAGCCTCACCCAGGAAAAACCACTTTCATGATCATGTTATCTTCCGGTCACTCGAAGAAGAGAAAGATTAATAAAAATCATGGGGTTGGAAGAGACCTCAGGAAGCCATTGAGTCCAATGCCCTACTAAAAGTAAAACCAATCCCAAATAAATCATCCTAGTCAAGACTTTGTCGATTTGAAGGGACGTAAACCATGCATTAAAACTCAAGAGGATTTTCTAAATAAGGGCATGGAACTATATCAATCTCAGTTATAAACACATAACCAACATTATGACAATGCTCTTTTAAGTGGATGTACACATTTTTCTGGAGAACCAACTCACCAACACATTTGCAGACCAGTCTAACTTCAGATTTCTTCAGCTTCCAGTTATTTCACTCCAAACGTCCTCAAAGGGAGATAATACCATAAAAAAGAAATGTTGCTGGCAAAATAGCACAAGTAGTGCTATTCATATTAATCTCTTTTAGGTAACACAGTAATAAAGTTTAGCAAATGTCAATTTTGCAAGAAAGACCATTCAGCAAAACAGAACACTAAATTAAAAACCAGAATGAGGTCAATGGAACTACTTACAGCTCTCATGTTACAAACGCTCATCTGCTTCACTGGACTGGCAATGAAGTGTTCGGGGTCTGGCAGGATCAAACTCCATGTAGACAATGGCTTTTGCCAAAATTAATCCTATGCATTCCCTGATTCAGCTAAGCACTTCAGAATGTGCTTAAGTCCCACTCTTCTCTGAGAACTAAGCACAGGCTCAAGTGCTTTAGTTCTTATGCATGTATTTAAGTGCTTTGCATAATGAAATGGACTTGAGTACATGGTTGTGTGCATTGCAGATTTGAAGGCTTGCACACCAGTGTTTCCTGTAAGTTGAGCGCATGGGCAGCAGAGATTTGGGAGCTGCCCAGCTAGGGTTACCAGATGGTTTAAAAAAAAATACCAGGCACACTTGATCTCAGATTGTTAGTTCTTATGCATGTATTTAAGTGCTTTGCATAATGAAATGGACTTGAGTACATGGTTGTGTGCATTGCAGATTTGAAGGCTTGCACACCAGTGTTTCCTGTAAGTTGAGCGCATGGGCAGCAGAGATTTGGGAGCTGCCCAGCTAGGGTTACCAGATGGTTTAAAAAAAAATACCAGGCACACTTGATCTCAGATTGGGCGGGGGGAGGGAGAGCAGGGCTGGCCAGAGGAGAAGCAGGCAGTTGGGAGGCG